GAGCACCTATAATAGATTAAAGTGCAATAAAAGTAGTAGGAACATCGACAATCAAGACGAAGAATGTGGAGGCGTGTTTGATTGACTTCTTTCTTCATAACACACTTGTTGTTGATCACATTGTCGTTAGCATAGCTATGAGAAGGAGGAAGAAAGATGAAGACAGTGAGTATAGGGACATTACTACTGAAATATTTGCTCTCTGTTGTAGACTGGTTTCTGGATCATATTAATCTTGGACCTTGTTCGTATGCTTGGCTGTTCCTTATGTTACATCCCCATGGATGGATCACATTTTATACGGTGTAGTATTTACTTCTCTTTTCTGAAATTTCTGCTCTGAATTGCTAGCACGGATATCGTTTAGCAATTTGTTCCGGATTCGTGCATGCCTGTTAACGAAAAAGTTGGCGGATCTGGTGGTCTTCGACCTGCATTCCACTACCGAATTATCCTTATTTCGTGTGTTGTGTGCTGTTATTTGTATTATTGCCTTGTTAAGGTTGAAAGCATGCATTTTGTTGTTTCGCATGTTCTAGAATATTATTAGGTTGTGGTTCAGTCGCCGCAACCAGCTAAAATCAATCTTGAGATTCTCACATCGCTCAGAATATTCTAATTTCGATGCTGTTTTTGATACGCGCTATGTGAATGTTCGTTGTACATTTACTAGTACAATGCGGTCTCGTTTGTTTGCACTACCGTACACCATCGAGCAGTATTCCAAAAGAAGACGTGAAAGTGATGAATAAGCGCAGAGTATGGATTTTTTTATCATGAAAGCTTTAAATAACGTTCCGATGCTTTGTCTGGCCTTTGCAGTGACGTGTGCTATTTGTTCGGAGGAGTTGAGCGAGCATGAGTATCTCAGTCCCACGTCACGAACAGTATGGCATATATTGATCTGCTTATCACAATTGGTTACACTGCTAGATATGATGTCGCATTTGTAAGACGTAGCGTAACACTTATCTGTCGTTAACAGCATCCCCTCACTGAGCACCAGGTTCCGAGCACATGTAGGTCGAGCTGGACCATATTAATAGTTTCGTTAATGGTAACGGAGGGAAAAGTGTAGATAATCTTGATGTCGTCGGCAAACACATATGGTGTTCCGAATTTCACAGCGTCAAATATATTGTTAACGTACATCCAAAACAGTGTAGGACCAAAGACACTACTCTGTACTACACCATTTGTGGATGCTGTTGGTTCAGATTTGTGTTCCCGAATTTGTACCACTTACGTTCGGTTTGTAAGATACGGTTTGAACCACGAAAGCAAGGGTTCCCCGATTCCATACGACATCAATTTAGATATTAGTTTTCCATGTGGCACTCGGTCGAAAGCTTTGTGCTTATCGAGGTACATAACGATTACAGAATTGCCATTATCATTTGAGGCAGTTAGATGATGTAGAAATTCAACTTGTCACGTTATGCACGTACTTGCATTCAGAGAACCGTGTTGAGAGTTGTTGCTTAACTTACGAGACAGTAGGAAGTTGACCGTTACAGTTTTTATATGTTGCTCCATCAATTTGCATAAGATAGATATATGATTTATTGGGCGATAATTCTTTGTTTCGAATGGGGAGCCTGATCTGTGTCACGGTATGACAATGGCTTCTTCCCACTGTGTTGTTACAGTGTCAGAGTTCGTGGATCTGGTGAACTTGTTCAATAATAGCAAGGCTATATCGACACACACAAGTTTGCTAATTGCAGGAGGTACATTATCTGGTCCGCCGAAGTAAGATAATTTTGTGTATTTTACAAGCTTTTCTATGCCACGGAGTTCAAACTTGACACGAATGAGTTTGTCAAGTGTTGATGGTGTTAAATACAACAATCTTAGTGGGTCATTATCCACGTTTACTTGATATCGCTGCTGCGAAAGCCATGAAAACGCTGCTAACTGTAGACACACACACACAATCTACTTGTCACAAATGCGACAAAGTTGGGAATCTTACACACGTATGCTGTTCGACGATTTACTGACACCCAGCCCCGCAAGAAATGTTGTTCGGTCCGTGGAAAACTAATGAGATTATATAATCTTTACTAACATACACTACCACATCTCATGTTATGGGGCTACCTCCGTAAACTTTGGAGTTGGACATAGAGAGCCAGCCAGTGCGCTTGGAAATCGACACCGGGGCATCAGTCACCTTGATCAACAAGTGAACATTGCCTGATCTGGTTCTGACACTGGCTCAGTCTACGTTACGTTCTTAAACGGGAGAAGCGCTCGATGTATTGGGTGTGTGTGATGTGAGGGTAAATCATGGAAGCGATACATTGACTCTTCCCGTAATCGCGGTTAATACTGATGGACCAAATCTGTTTGAGAGGAATTGGTTGAAACGCATGCCGGAAATAATTCGTACTGTCAAGAAGGTGGACCGCATTCCGGATTTGCCCACACTTTTGAAAGCTTTTGCTACTGTTTTCGATGCAACTCTTCCCGGGAACTTACGTGGTTTCCAAGCTCGTTCCAACATCATGCCAGCCGTTTTTTGCCAAACTTAGCTGCTGCTCTCGCGCTCTTGTATGCATTGCTGCGTAAGAATACCCGATGGCTGTGGTCACCAAAACAACAAAATGCTTCTGTTGCTGTCAAGTTGGCTAAAGTAAGAACAATTTGCTGGTATACTTTGACCCAAAGAGGCCGAATACTCTCCGGTGCAACGCATCATCCACATAGCTCCGAGCTGTGCTACCTCACAAAATGGAAGACATGACCGAACAACCCATAGATTTGGTATCCACGGAGAGGAATTACGCCCAGTTAGATAAGGAAGCCTTGGCGGTTATCTTTGGTGTTAAGAGATTTCACTAATGCCTTCGGGGGCGAACGTTTGAAATTTTTGCAGACCACAAACCTTTATTAACTTTGATCGGCCAATTAAAGAGCACCAATCACATGGCATTCCTTCATATGCAACATTGGGCTTTACTGCCTTCGGCCTATAACTACAAAATCTCGTATGTTTTTGGAAAAGCGAATGGAGTCACTGACACTCTGAGCCGCATACCATTAAGTCAATTACTCGGTTGCCTACTGAAACCAGCGGAACTGTTACACTTGCTTCAGCATTTAAAGGGAAATTCGGTGCTAAGCACAGATATCCATCATGAAACCAAACGCGACATACTACTTGCGTCTAATATCCCAGGTGTGGTCTGCTAGATGTGAGCCGCAACTGCTCCGAGCTTAGTGTTGAAGATGTATGGCTACTCTGGGGATCCACTCGGATTACGGCCAGATGTTCTGCAAGGGCTGCACGAAACTCACCCGGGAATATCGAAGATGAAAGGACTTATAGGTAATCTACTCATATTGACAGACATTGAGGAGTTAATCCGACACTGCGACGCTTATCAAAGCACACAAAGAAGCGTCCTTCCTGTACCACTCAGCCTATGTAAGTGACTCAGCAAACCATGGGAGCGTGTACATGCTACCTTCTTCGGCCCACTCGACGGGAAGGTATTTATTCTCTTGATTGACGCTTATTCGTAATGAATCGAATTTTTTTCTTTAACACTAGCCACATCAGATACTATGGTTTCATGTATACGAACGTGCTTTACAACCTTTGGTATACCACACACGTTGGTGATAGACAATGGGTCCGTGTTTACTAGTCAAGAATTTCACGAGCTTCTGCAAACTAATGGCATACGTCATGTGAAGTCATCCCCTTATCACCCAGCTTCTAATGGATTAGCTGAAAGAGCGGTCCAAATGGCCAAGAATGGGCTACAAAAACAATTGCCGATTCTTTTGCGAACAAGGTTAGACAAATTCCTTTTTAGTTCTCGTTCCGAACTGTACGTAACGACTGGGAAGAGCCCGGTGAACTAATGTTCGGACGGAGATTAAGGACGCGGTTAGACTTGCTGTTTCCCGATCAAAGGCTACGTGTCGAGGCCAAACAAGATAAGTCTAAGGCTGACTATGACCGGAGGGCCGTCGTTGACAGCTCTGTGAGAACGAACCGGTTTATGTCAAGTTGCCTAACGCAACGAACTGGTAGCCTGGAGAACTACGCGAAGTTGCGGGACAAAATACCTAAGTAGCTCTACCGGACGGCAGGATAGCCATTCGGCACAGGGACTATGTCCGTCCCCGCTCTGGCTCGGTTCCGCCAGCCGACGCATCGACAAGCCTGATCACTGAGTTGGAAGACGTGCAGCATACCAATCAATCTGAGACTCCTCAATGTTGCCGCTCAGGCCGAGTACGCCGACCAGTCGATCAATACCAGGCCAGCTCCCATGGCATCTGCGCGAGCTGAATTCACTTGTCTGATCCGTTTCGCCAAAGACAGTGTGTGTCAGCCTAACGCCAAGCTAGTCACCGATTAAACTGTGTACACTTGCTTCCTATTGTCGGAACCCACTGGCGTCAGTTTGTGTGTGTGTCAGTTTAACGCCAAGCTAACCATTGCTTGAACTGTTTTCGCTCATGCGAAGCGTCGTGTTTATGGTAGGACCCAATGCATTTTGTGTACTTCTGCAACTGACGTGTTCTGCTGTCGTGCGTTACGGGCCGAGTTGTAACAGCGAGTGCATGAGATATCTGGCATGCTGCATACCTCCGAATTGCTGTTCCTATAGTTGGTTTTACCTACTCTCCTCCCACGCCCTATTCTAAGCAATCCACTTTTCAAAAACTCATCTCAAAACCCACTGGATTAGTTAATGCAATGCCTCAAAATGAGTGGCGATCTAAACGATATTGTTGGCTGTATCTTGCACTTGATTTGAACTCCCATCTTTTGATAACGCTTATCTATAAGTTAGAGCCAATGTTTAATGGTTTCTGCTATTATCATTATTATCTTGATACCTTTTGCGCCGCTGTTATATCCTTGCATATGTTTTCCTTTATGTGCAATGTTTGCTTGCTTCTGATGGTCTATATCGTCTTGCTGATACATTCTTCATGGATTAGTCACACCCTTCTGTTCCCCCACTTCTCTTCAGCCTGGGATGAACTACTACTTGGTCTACTACGATGATCCTCGATTTTCAATGGGTGATCCCACCATCGGGGTTGTGGTTGGAAAAGGTATTTCTCAATTCGCATTTTCAGTGCACCTAGTTGCTTTCCCCCACTCCTTTCATGCTCTTTAGTATTATTCCCCATTCCGCACCGCTGGGTTTTCCTTTGACTTATGCACTTATCTCTACCTGGAGACTGTCATCCTTGATAGAGCTGTGTCACTTGCTAATTGTTTCTATCGATAGATGTAACGTTCTTTCCATTGGGCTTGCCTCTGACCAGGTTGGCTATTTAACGATTGATCACTGTGCTTGTTGTTTTTGTTCAAGTTGATATGCCACTCACTGTCGGCATTCCATCTGTTTTCCACATCTCTAATTATCAATTGTAGGGACGAGAACTTATGGTTGTGCACACCATTGGAGCACTGTTTTAAGTTCCTTTGCGATAGCCGCTGTCAGTTTTCCAATACTATCTCGTCCTCTGACGTTTGCTAATCCCGTTCGCGATCGGTCTGGAATCCTCCTGCGGCAACCTCTTAGGATAGCAGCACTATCTCCATTTTCTCCAATATCTCACGAAGTTCTACTTGTGTGTCAGCATCTCTGTAGTTATCAATTTCGATATTGCAAGGAAGTTCTCCAAAGATTCACACCAACTTCTGGCATTCTCCCGTGCCTTCCTGTTCATATTTTTCGCTTCTCTTCTGCCATGTAGTTTTCCCTGTGCTGAAGTCCTTGGCGTCGTCTGATGATCGAGCCTTGCATTCTACAGAACTTGCTTTTCTTAGAATCGATTTGACCGGACATGCATATTACTGATCACCAGACTGAGATTACATCCACCGAATCTCAATTGATCTCAACTGGAATACATAGCCCAAACGTTTGCAACCCCCTCCCATTTTTCATGGGTTATCACCATCCACTGATCGTGCTTCAGTTTCCCCTCTATGCCTGCTTTTCGGCGTTTTCCGGCCTCATTGATTGACGCGGTTGGCGAGTGTACGCACAATTATTACTGGCAGCGTATGCTCTTCCAGTCGCCTTGTTACTTCATTTCGCCTTATCTTTGCACTCCTATGACGACTAAACGTTTACTTACCGATTACCTAAACGTATACGCGCATATTCTCGCTCCCCCTCCGTCTGGGAGCAACAGTTTCTGTCGGTTACTTGACACAAAAGATGCATTTGCCCGTCCTTTTTCACCCCTATCGCTTCCTTCCTGCAGATCTGCAACTAACCTTGAATATCGCAGCTAGTCATAATTTCAGCGAGATCCGCCGAAATATTCCCAATTCACATGGTAAAAGTGGATGGTCTTGCAGCACAATTGTAGCCAAGTCACCTAGGTTAATGGGATTATACAACGATCTCAATCGTTTATGCGAAACCGCTTGAATCATCACCTGCAACTCTCTTCTCACTGAAACACTTATCTGGGGTTACTACGGACTTTTCTGCATTTTATGTCCGATAATGATCGTTTACTCAACAAACCGTTACAGCGATGACCGCATTGATTCTCGACGGTTGTATTGCGGGCTGAATTCTTTGCCATCTAAACATTTTGCACACATTACGGTGCTCGTGATAGGCCCGGCCACCATTTACCCAGTTGTTTTCAATGAGCCAATCGTTTGACTGTCGATAGTGGTAGGAGGAAGATCACGAAATTGATCTTTTACTTACTGTTTCCCTTATGTCTACAAGCCGACTTCCGCGAGTGACACCTGCTTTCTCACGCATGCCAACAGTCAGCATAACTAAAACATTGTGTCTCCTTACTCCATTCGCCAAGCGCAGAAAGAACACGTAAGTCCGCGAAATGTTGAGATTTCAATGACCCCTCAGTCACGAATGCAATGCAATTAGGAATCAAACAGAAGTAAACATGCGGTAAACATGTGGTACAAGCGGACCAATCAAATCCAACGCAATCTAACAGATTGCTTCTGTGCAGCCCCTTAGGACCCGTTTTGCCGGACATTTTTCTGCGTCTGATTGAAAGAAAAATTACTGTCAGCCTCAGCGAAGCAAAGGTGTACGAACGGTACGTGGATGACATCCTACTTTTTACTAATGGCTAGCATTTTGAGCGACTTGTTGCTCTTTTAAACTCCGCACTTTAACCTCTCTGCTACACACGAGATTGAACAGCAGGGCAGTCTATTCTTATTTGAACGTGCTTACTAAACGGGCTGGTAGCCTCACATATCGTTTACCGGTTCACCTGCAGTTGCGGTGACGTTTATATAAGCAGGACTGACCGTAGACTGGCCCTAAGGATGGCTGAACACCTCCAACTTGGCTACGGCAAGCGTTGACGCAACAAACTGGTGGGGGTCAACTGAAGTATCGTAACCCTGCCTCGTCCATCACAATGCATCTCGTATTGACTCGCCATCACGTGGATCGATCGACCGCGTTCAAAGTACTCTTGCGCGACCAGAACTTAAAGAGACGGGCCATTGCCGAGGCCGTACTTATCTCGAAGTACCACCCGGTATTGTGTGCGCAGAGGTAACCTGTTAGATTGCCTTGGTATCGATTGCACATTTTATTCCACTTTGGATTCCACATGTTCACTTATGTTTGATTCCTAATTGTATTGCGTTCGAGACAGGAAAGCAATTGAAGGATTAACATTTCGCGATTTGTGTTCTCTTTCTGTGCTTAGTGAATTAGTACACCGCCGGTTTGCTTAAGGCCGATTAGCTGCCGGGAATTGGTTGACGCTAGATGTCCGCTTCGCATCCATTATCCCTTGTTACAATTAAATCGGCGTGAAGCATTTCTACCTTATCTCATGGGTCGTTGCTTCGTCCGGTTAACAACAGGTTGTTCGGAATATTGACAGATCTTAACATCGACATAAGTGTACACCATCCGAATCGCACAACCATGTAACGATTAAATGTTTCTCATATTGTTCCGTTCCCTACATTGAGCATTTCTCTTTTTTAATAATATCAACTAGGTACTTGTTATCTATAGTTTTGGATCATCACATTTGGTACCTGTTGTCACTCTAGTTGTTCCATGGTTGCTTTTTTCTTAAGCCGGACCAATTTTTTCGTAATAATTGATAGTCGTCACATTTTATTTGTAGCCATGGACCAATTTATGGAGCAACTTCATGATGCTGCGCTAAAACTCACTCAGCACGGCCTTCCAGATAACACAGACGCAGTGGTTTTCCGACGAATAACCCCCAAGTCGAACGAATCCATTAATTCCCCACCCAGCTCCACCACTTCTTCAGGGTCAGCTACGGATTCAAATGTTAGTCTGATCTCTCAGTCTACATCAAAGCCTTCTAACTCTCAGTTTCTCAAATGTGCCAGCTGAATACATTTGTCCAGATCGGCCGAATGCCCTTGCACTATTCCGTCAACTTTTCACACACCAGCCCAGAGATGGGCAACTCCTTTTACAAAGTTGTTCGCCCCTCACACTACCGCCTTGTAGATTTTTCGCTTTGTCTCCTTGTCACGCTAGACCTAGTTTTCCACTTCCCTCGCAGTTGTACATTGATCCAATACCTCTAGTTCCTGGGCATTTGCTTACTTTCATATGCTTTATATTTGAATACAAATAAACTCTTAGCCGCGTCCATTTGTGCTTCCGCAACCGGAGCCCATAAAACGCGCGGGTGCCGTCTGTCCGTTCTATTTTTTTTCACACCGGCCAATCCACCTGCAGGCTAACCTGTGCTCTAAGCACAGATTGCCTTAGCATTTACTTCATTCTATGAGGTGAGGGTAGCGATGGCCTCTTAATAACTTGGTTTATCCGTTGGCTCATTCTGATGCAGTGGTTTTGGATTATTGGCACTTCTATTGCTCGTGGCCGACCCACCGTTTATGCTCTCAGTAGTTTTTTTGTTAAAAGGGGCGGACTTAGGACGACCGCTTGTTCGTTTTTGTTGGATTTTTCGTTGGCTTACTTTTTTAATCATTGAGCATCTTCAAACAGTGGTAAGTAAACTATACGGTTCTCTGCCGTGTATAGTAGTGCATGGCGCCAGTTGTATTCATACCTCTTCGCCAACCCGATGCCGTGGTATCTCTTTAGATCCGCGATCATAATATCCTTTCTGCCTAAGCATTTTCCAACCGATCATGCATCGTCGCTGAGGATTTTGCTTCCGTTTTGCTAGCTGGGTAGCAAAAGCAGGGTCCGTCGCGACGGGACTGTACCTTAACGTAATGCGACGGCTTACGTATCTCATTGAGCTATACTGGTTGATGCCTCCGGGCATCTTGAGAGCTACTCCTACTAGGTTGGTCAATGGTGAGAGGTCAGACATACTCAGTCTCCTGGTCCTCCAGGATGGGGGGTTAAACGCGATGGCGTCCATTTCTGTAAAACTAAATCACTGCCACCTCCCCGCTGCCTTGCGGACAGGCTTTTGAGCCAAAGGCTTTGGATGAGGACCCTAATCGTCCTCCTGTCTAGGTCTGGGCGCCCTGGTAGTATCTCAGCCCACATACAACCATAACATTTTCTTCAAACATAAACTTCATCCTGCATCCGCTGTCGCACAGGTTATCAAGGGTCGCCTTATCTGCTGTATACAGCAGGGCGGATAAGCGAAAACATGCTACTGCTGGCGCCTCCATTCTTTTCCACCTTTTTCTCTTACTCTCATCCCGACCCCCATTACTAACCTACTTTCTATAATTCCCAGCTTAATTGACAGCAACCGAAGTGCCCCTGGAGTAGAACCATCTGCAGCCACCATCCCACAGCACCTATCGTACGCCTGTCGGCAGAAGTCCCTTATAAGGCCACGCTATCCCGTTTCCATTGCGACATTCAACGTTCGCACTCTAAGACAAACAGGCCAACAGGCTGCACTCGCACGCACCTTGGACACACTGGGTACTGATGTGTTGTGTGTCCGAAACTAGGATCAATGACCCTATCGGGGTTGTTGAATTAACTGCACCCGGCTTATCCTCTCGTTTTTAGTTGCACGTATCTGGCGACGCTGATGCGGCACTCACGGGTCAAGCTGGTGTAGCTATCATTCTCAGCTCCAAGGCTGAGCCATCGTTGGTTGATTGGATTCCGGTGAACAGCCGTTTATGTGCAGCTCGTTTGACGATATCACCTAAGGTGGATTCACGAAGTAATACAAAACGCTGTTTGTTTGTGCTTTCCGCTTATGCTCCTACCGACTGCAGTTCAAATGCTGTCAAGGACACATTCTATCACGAACTGAACGCGCTACTACGCAGTGCTACTAGTTCAGATATTACAGTACTTGCTGGGGATATGAACGCACAAGTAGGGCGTCTGAGCTCTTCAGAAGCTCAGCTGGGTGGTAATTGTGGGCTTAACTCCGAACGGACTGACAACGGTGAGCGTCTGCTGCAACTGTGTGCAGGGCACCAGTTGTTTCTTAGTAGCACTGCTTTTAGACACAGTGGGCGCCGAAGTGCCACTTGGCGTCCACCTGTAGCTGGCCAGCGATGGACCCAAATTGACCATAAGTTACAGGTGGCGTGGTTCCATTCTGGATTGCCGCTCGTACTGGAGTACCTGTGTCGACTCTGACCATGCCTTGGTGCGCTGTCGTTTCTCCATGAACTTTACCGGAAGGCGCACAAAGCGTCTCCCCCGTTTGGCAACGGAGAAATTGTCCCAGCCCTCTGTCAGGCAAGCCTATCAAGAAGCACTGCATAGCGAACTTTCGCTGTCTTGTCTTAATGACACAGAGCTTCAGTGGAATAGGATCTCGGCCGCCATGCACGACGCAGGAGTATCTGCTTACGGCACTATCCATCGTCACTGCACTAGTCACTGGATATCCGAGAGGTCGGTGAACTTGGAATCTAAAAGACACCTCCCGGCTGGTTCTGAACACAGTGTGACCAGACGGTCTATTAGGCGTGAACTAAACCAAAGCCGACGTGCTGACAAGGAAGCCTGGTGGACCAGTAGGGCCCAAGAAATGGAGAAGGCAGGAGCAATAGACAATTACCACAAGCCCTTCTAGCTAATCCGCACCACTGGTCTTAGAAAACCAGACGTCAATGAGACAATCAGAGACAGTGAAGATGCACTGATACAAAATAAGGAGCGGAACACTTTCAAAATCAGTACAGCTGGCCCCCTGCTCCCGGACCTCTTCCTACTCAAGTAATGCAGGACGAGCCATGGACGGTTAGTTTAGAGCCTCCGTCGGAGGCCGAGGTCCGAAACGCGATCACTGCCCTCAATCGTTTTCGTGTCGCTGGCCCGGATTCCCTCCCACCTGCACAATTTAAGGATGGTGGTGAGGTTCTCTGCAAAGCACTGACCTCCCTATTCGAACGTATCTGGAAGGAAGAGAGTGTGCCGTCTAATTGGAGCGAATCGATTATAGTGGCAATATACAAAAAGGGCAGTCGCACAGACTGTGCGAACCACAGGCGTATTAGCCTAACGCCAATTGTGACAAAATTACTGGCCTCGATTATCATTCGTCGCCTCACTGCGAAACAAGAATCTCGAATTAGGGAAGAGCAGGCCGGCTTCCGCCCAGGACGTGGCTGTATAGACCATATATTCACTTTGCGGCAGGTGTTAGAGCAGCGCCACGCATACCGCAGACCGACAATAGCTGTGTTCCTCGATTTCAGGAGTGCGTTCGATTTAGTCGATCGATCGATTCCGTTCGAAATACTTGCACGGAAAGATGTTCCCGCGAAACATGTGAACATCTTTCGTGCTCTATACTCGAACACTACAGGCCGCATCAGGGTCTACAGTGATCTCTCGGATAGCTTTCCGACCACAAGTGGAGTTCGTCAGGGTTGTCCGATTTTCCCATTTTTGTTCACTTTCATCGTGGATTCTATCATGGAGTATTCCCTTGCGGAATCTCACCATGTAGGCGTTGAAGTGTTGCCTAGTGAACTGTTAGTTGATCTAGATTATGAGGACGATATCGTCTTGCTTTTCGACGATATTGCGGTGGCACAATCAACCCTGAATAGCCTGTCTAGAGTGGTCCCATTATTTGGAATGCACTTTGCACCTTCAGAGTGCAAAGTGTTGCTGCAGGACCACCAGCCACTTGATGACCCCTTAACGCTTGCTAACGAGGAACTCGAGGTGGTTGATCATTTCACTTATCTTGGCAGCTGCATCAGCAACGATGGGCGCATAGAAGCTGACGTGAGCTCGCGCATTGCAAAGGCCAGAGCTGCCTTCTTGAACCTGCGACATCTTTGGCGACAGAAGGGAATTACCCTCCGTCTGAAAGGCCGTGTATACAAGGCCACAGTGAGGGCCGTTCTGCTCTATGGTAGTGAAACTTGGCCCCTTCGGTCTGAAGATCTGAGGCGCATCAAGTCTTTGATCATCGTTGTCTGTGAAGCATTGCTGGTTTAGGATGGCACCAGCGTGTCCGCAACGATGATGTGCGTAGGCGAGTACTAGGTAAAGATAATCATGCTAGCTCCCTAGAACAACAGATAGTATTGAATGAGTTGCGTTGGCTCGGGCACGTGCTACGTATGCCTGGTCACCACTTACCTAGGAGGGCCTTGTTTAGTCTGCCAGGTGTAGGATGGCGCAAGGCTCGAGGTGGACAGAAGTTGACTTGGCAGTGGGAATTGAAGTCACTGACGACCAAACTGGGTGCCGTTGGTCCGTCTGGTCTTCCGGGCTGGAGTCCACGTAACTCGCCTTGTGCTTGGCTCGAGACTTTACAGGACATGGCTCGCAACCGACACCAGTGGTGCGTCTGCTGCCGTCTCCTAATTGGATTGACTGTTTATAGTGTGTTTGGTGCTGGGTTATCTGCGGGGTCATGGCTGATTATGACGCGTGGCAGTGAAAGCCGCAAGGAAGCTGTCTCGCCGATGCCGCCTTATCTTTGCACGATAGCCGGCTGTTTGTGACGGTATGTTGTCTACACAAGGTGTAGGCACCTTGACCCTGAATGTTTGTCTAGGACATTGAGGTTTTCAGGTAAGTCCCCCTTCTCTCCCTCTTCTTATTCTTTATTTCATAGGTCCTCATGATTGTATGGCAGCGAAGCATCAGTTCAAATGGCTGATGTACTGCTGTTGATGATGAAGTAAGCTATTTTCGACCCGGAACTTCGAGATACCACCTCATCGAATGTGATGGGTGTATGCAGCTGAAGTGAACCGATAGAACCAGTTGTTGTGCCGCCGCCGCCACTGTTCACACCGCACGATCGCAATGAGAACACGAAGACCTGCCAGGACCGAGTAGTATACATGAGAATTCTGCTTCGCTTAAATATACTGTACAGTAGTGGATGAAACAAAGCTAGTAAAGCACGTTGGAGCCAACCAACAACTTAGGAAACAGTGAAAAACACCCGCGAATGAAAAGAGGTAGAAGAAAGAACCAATCAGGCGAGTTCGAGTGAACGGTGTTAGCGGAAACGGACCCCCCGAAACAACATCCATTACAATCGGCCAATCGAAGCAAAGGAATGGTACGTTTAAATAAATGTCAAGAAACGGACGGTGGCAAAACGAAAGCAGGCAACGAAGAATTGTCTAGTACACATTCTTCTGACACTAAGGGATGCAGCCTTCATGAATTTCGTCATCGGACAATGGCAACCTCCTATATGTGATAATT